TGCCCACAATTTGGTTGGAAATATTTTGCTATTTTGTGAGAGATTGCTGCACATAGCCTCCAGCGATATTCATAGACTTCCAAGCAAGAATGTCTCCTCCAGAATTTGCAAAGTAAACTTGCCGAAGTTCTTCTCTCAGACTATGCCCGGTATAATTTATAACATGAGGCAGTTTTAATTCTTTTTATGAATTTTAGCAATAGAATTCTTTCCAACCATTTGGTAGATATATTTTCCTGCTCCATAGCAGACAAATAAACGTGTCTGGTATGTTTACTATTAAATACCATATATATGATGTCACTCACTTTTTCTCCCAAGGGAGAAAAAGTTAGGGAGAACAAGTATTTTTCATATTTTCCTTCCTAGGGAGGAAAAGTACGACGTTGCTCCCTAATAAATTGAGGCAAGGAAATGTTTACCTTGGATAGAGGTAGGCGGAAATAGTTATTTTCCTAACAAGTGCGCAAAGTGTTACTTTTCCGCACGTAAATACAGTTAGGCGAACGACTCGGAGCGGAGTTCGAATAAGTTTTTGCGTGCGGAAAAAACACTTTGCGCACGTGTTATAACAACGTTTTTCCTACGAGCTTCATATCAGATAAAAAGGAAAATAACAAAAATTATGATGAAGTGAACGGTGTTTTTAGATTTTTGCTGAAAGAAACTGAGTAAAAATCTAACATCATGTCAAAGTTGACAAGTGCACTTGTTGTTGATAACGGCTTCTTATAGTGCATACAATAGTCTACAGCAACTAAAATGAATATAAATGTTCCATACCAGTGGGATTTTTGGGTACTTTTACTTATCCGCACGCCGTGCGGAAAACACCCATATCCGCATTGAGTGCGGAAAAGTATTACTTTGCGCACGCAAATGTTTTTAGTTTATCTTCATTTGTTGGAAAGCTTACAAATTGAAATTTGCCATCTAACTGATTGGCACAGCCTAACACAGCACATTTCACCATTTTTTCACAAGAGAATAGGAAAATATCGTATTCAGTAAATAATATCCTCATTTAATCGTAAAATGTTTTTATTTTCTTGAATATTTTAATCATTGACATTCAGAAGTAATTTATTGACACTGTCGATATTTCCTTTTTTCAAAAATGTTCAAAGAGTAGGTATTGGGAACAAATAATAAATATCATTACTAGATTACTAGCTGACTTGGCAAACGTTGTTTTGCTATGCACAATATTTCTAGAAAATATTCTTTTAGTTGAATAGCAGCACAATTTATTTATTTCACTTTTTACTTCTTTTCAGTTCGGCTATCCATAAAAGCGTGTTTCTTTAGTTTTTCAAGATACTATTCATTTTATACTCGTTTTCAGCTCGGCAATCTATCTCTTGAGTTTTTCAAACTACTATTTATGTTCTACTTCTTCCCAATTCGACTAACTATCTACGAACGCGTGTTCAATTAATTTTTCAAACAACTATTTATTGCAAAGCTCGTTCGCCATATTGGATCCGCCATCTCGAATATTCCAATTTTGACAAAAATATCATAAAGTTCGACCCCTAAAACCCCCAGATACCAAACTGTAATAGAATCAGATCATAATTAGAAATGTATTTCGCCATATTCGATCCGTCATCCTGAATGTTACAATTTTCACGAAATCATTATCTCTTACCCCGAAAACCCCCAGATACCAATTTTGGATAGAATCGGATCATAATTACAAAACTCGATCCCCATATGATCTTCCTCAACAAGTATAAAGACCCTGTACATACCTATTATTGAAATTTTTAATGATTTTCTGTAGCGCCCATGGACGTGACGTGACAGCAATGTCATTTTCTCGAAAAGTATATTTTTCTACAAACGTCAAAAAATGACAAGGTTCGCGCATTGATAACAAATTGCGAAGTGACACTTTTTTTTCAGTTTCCTACGTTACCATGATACCTTGCACATAACAATGCGCGAAGTAAAACAGTGCGCGAAGTACCTACTTCGCGCATTGTTATGTAAAATATATGAGATATTTTTAATCCAACTTAATGGTCCTCAATCGAGCAAACATCCACGAAATCATTTATTTCTGAATGTTCAATCATAACTTTGTTTTATATCTTGGAGCGCACGAAAGGAAATTCCTATTATGTTCGTGGAACATCGTGCGTACCTACGGAGGATAGGGGGAGACTTTTTAAGCCAGTTCAACACTATTTTTTATATCAAGCTAAGCATATTTTTACCTTAGAACTATATTTTTTGACGTTTGTAGAAAAAATGTTGTTTGCAACTCGAGCGCGAAATACTTTGGTCATCTCGACTATTTTTTTAACTCGGCAACGCCTCGTTAAAAAAATCAGATCTCGATCACCAAAGTAGCATTTCGCGCTCTAGATACAAAAATAACTATTTTAGGAAGAAAATATTGTTCCTGCATGAAAAAGGCGGCTTCTTTCAACCGAACTCGTTCGAACAGGGACCCTAGTTCGAACGATCCTTTTTCTGAAAAGTATATATTTCGAAAAATTACTTGTGAAAAAAATTTGAAAAAAAATGACGCCTCGAATGGATTTGTACGCGAGCCACCGCCATGGAAGTCAGATACACAGACTACAGTCGCCAGACCACGAGCTTTATCGAGCCACTCGGAGGTTCTAACATCTCAGTTCTAACTAATAGCGTTTTCCACTCGGCTACACTGCGTGCGACTTTTGTGGGTGCAGCACTAGCAGCAGACCTCATGCTCGAAATTCGTGCGGGCATCGTGCATCATGCCTGAGCAATGTCAGTGGAACGTACAATGTACGTAAGGTCACACAATACGTCACTGCAGTTTTGACATAACGTCAGCTCAATCAATTGTATATGCATAATATAATTATTTTAATCCTATGAAATGTCTTGTTTCGCCGATAATAATGAATTTGCATCATTATCTACATGCGGAGAATGCGGTTTGATGGGACCGTTAGATAAAGTTGAGCAACATTACCTCGATTCGCATTGCGTTGATGGTAATGACTCCTGCAATGAGATTGAATACACCGAAGACCCCCAACTCGAAGACCCAGAAGAATGCGAGACCGAGAATATTACATCTTTAGGTGAAAAAAACCTTATCGCTGGGCCCACTAATAGGGGTCACAAGTCAGACGGAAGTAAGCAGGTAATAGAAATTCAGGTAATATCCTCTTTTCAATGTTGTAAATTGTTTTAGATAATGAATGGTGTGAAGCAGAGACCAGACTTCTGCTTGACAAGTATGAATCCTATTTGAAACACGTAGGACCGATGAAGAAATTCAAGAGAAAAAAGGATATGTGGCAACAGATATCCAAAGATATTAAGACTATATTAAATATTACAAAAACACCGACTCAGTGTGAAAATCGCTATAAAACAATATTGAAAAGAAAGAAAAAAGCTGTAGATGACAATAATCAGACAGGACGCAATCGAGTACCAGTAGAATACGAAGCAGAATTGGCAAAAATTGCTGCACTTGATGACAGCATTGAACCCGAAGTACTACGAGATAGTAGAAATGTGAAAACGGCTGAAAAGCCAGGAAATGATCAAAAATCATTGAAAAGGAAAAGGGAAAAGAGTGTGCAGGAGGTATTGATGGATATTTCCAAGCAGAAAGAAGAGGCTAGGGAAAGAAGACACAAAGAAAAGATGAAAATGCTGGAAAAGTTTTTGGAACAGCAAAATAAATAAATGTTGAGTTACTTGAGTTAACACTAAAGGAATTTTTGATAATAATTGTTACACAGAACAAATATTTTTTTGATATACAGGGTGTCCTCCAGATCGGTGCAAACCTTATAGGAGCTAACAGGAGATGTCATTTGGAACCAATTCAGCCACATTTATCTCTGTACAAAGACATACAACAGGAAATACTTATCACTGTAACGTATTAGTAGAAAAACAAAAAGAAAAATTCACTATTATGTGTTCAAAACTTCATCAAATATTCCAAAATGATGATTATCTAGAATGCCACAAGACTTTGTGCTTAGGTATAAGTGCAAATATGTTCCCAGAGGCATCTTCTGTCGGCTCCTCAAAGGTTTGAATCAACCTGTAGGGCACCCCTGTATAGGTATAGTTATGAGGGTACTTTTGTAACAATCAGATGAATTGTGTTCCCTAAAGAATTTGTATTTAGTGATGGATTTTCAAATTCATCTTCATGGTTCAAATCAAATATTAAAATAAATTATGTTCATTTTTATAAACAAATTATATTAATTTTGGCTCTTGAACTGCTTGAACTATCTAAAAGGTCCATCAATATTTGAATTTTACGCGCCTCCATTTGCAATTTGACTGACGCTCGAGCTCTTGAACACGGTGCAAAAGAGTTGCCCTCGGTGCACCCCGCGGGTGAAAATATTTTCCAGTGGAACGTAATCTCTGCTGTCAGCACTGGCAAAATGCAAACAAATTTTGCCAGTGGAACATGAATGTAAAACTGAGTGCGACAGGGTGCGCACCAGTGACCCGAGTGGAAAACGCTATAAGATGTTCTAAATCGATCGTGTGTTGGCTTGTTTATCACGACAAGCAGCACAGCAGCATGCTACTAATTGAATTACTTGAGACATTTATTTTCGGAATTGGAATTGGTGACAACTAGATGAAGTTGACACACCCATAAGTTCACTGTTGGCAGTTCTGATTTCTTGACAGGATGACAGGACAGGTGACAGGTCACTTCAGTCACTCAGAAGTCAGAATACTCAGATACGTCGACCGTCAACGTCAAACATCTGGCGAAAGCATATTTTTTATTTTCATGTTTATTTTTATAGTTCAGCTGATTCAGCAATTGATAGTCAACAACAGTGCTTGCATGAAATTATCGATAGTGGTATAATTTAAGCACTTTCAGATAAGTGAGAAAGTGAGTCATCCCATCCCATCCCTGGTTTGTACTGATATTGATAAAATATTAACCAATTAATTCCATCCCTCAGCAAATTCACACAGAGGATTATTTGAAAAAGACAAGAATGTCGCTCTACCCAAGTCTGGAAGATATGAAAATCGACCAGATGTGTCGGGCTCAACTGAGTGAAATCAAATCACATTTCACTGTCCAATCTACTGGAGCTCCTCCAGCTAGTCCAGCTTACCAGTATCCTTCCTTTACTGACATGCCAGTTCCAGTAAACAATGGTCCCCTTTACCCAGCCCTAGGTGAATTCATGGGACTGGAATTGAGCCAAGCAGTAATTCGTGAGAACATGCCAGAATATTCTCAAGTGGCTCTTCTCCAACAGGTATTTTTAATATTAACAAATATCCTACCAATTGACATTCCTCAATCTGCAGTAAGATGAGGCAACATGGGGCAATATTTTTCTGGTGATTTATGACATGAAGGGTCACTATGAGTCAACCTCAGAAAAAGAAAAACAAATTGAATATCCACCAAGATATACCTAGATATCCACCACTCATCCAATAAAAAAAATAGTTTTTATGGATACAGGCACCCTGAATTTGTTTATGTTATTGATTGTTTTCTTTAGCCAAATGCAAATAAATTGCTGTTATATTTTAAACTAGAGTAGGTGCTCAATATCAACCCTCAAGAGTGAAGAGTAGTGAGTGATAGAAGATATCCACCCAGATATCCACCACTCATCCAATGAAAAAAATAGTTTTCATGGATACAGGCACCCTGAAAATCATTTGTTTATGAATTATCATAAAGTTCCCCTGAACATTGTTTTTTGTTACTACTGTTATTACAAAATTCAATTTGTGTTATTGATTGTTTTCTTTAGTCAAATGCAAATAATTTGCTGACATTATAAACTAGGGTAGGTGCTGAATATCAACCCTCAACAGTGAAGAGTAGTAAGTGATTACTTAGCTCTTCCAGCAAAATTCCATAGGTACACAAAATCACACCTCAGACAAGTTCAGCAAGGTTGATATTCTATACAAATATTGATAAATAGGTAAAGAACATCATGTTCTGAGATGATCAATTTTGCAGGCCATCTAAGGGGAGTCACCACTGTTATCACCCTTCTGAATATTGAGAAATTCACTAAATAAACCAAGAGTAAATTGAACATGGATATGGCTAATGTGACGATCTGATGTGAATACACTACATTACCCTTGCTAGTATTGAATCATTTGTTCAGAAGTTAGGTATGTGAAGAAGATAAGTAGGGAAGGATAATTCTTCAATTCAATTCATCTATTTACCATATTGGTCTCCTTTACTGGATATTGGGTTTGTCATAAAAAATCCTTGAATTAAACATACATGACACAAGACTACAACACACAACTACAACTAATAATGATAGTACCTTATCCTAACTACAGATATAAATATAAAATGCTGGATAAAATGTATATAAAATTATACCGAGAAGGAGTGACCAAAGAATTAATCTAGCCCATACAATATGTTTTTATAAGAATTTTCCTGAATTCTCTTTTGAATTTGTAAATACTGTCAATTGGTCATTCATGGGTAAGTGATTATAAATCCTTAGTGGCATGATGTAACAGCTGTTATTAGTCAAGGTTAACCTATGCTGGGGAATAAACAGTTTGTCGGAGTAAATGAATTCAATGTCCCAAGTATAAGCGCCATATCAAATTTTAGAAAAATATACTGGTTAGTTCAAAACTTATAGACAAATGAACAATTATTCGAAATCAATAAATCGCCTGTATCTCCGTTATGAAGACTCTAAGACCTATCAAATATGGTATCTTCAGAACCACCTTGGTGACCCCTATGTACCATTGAAATATTTCCCTTTATCTGTGAAACACCCTGTATATTTGCGATGATTTTAAATAACGAATGATTGCACCAAATACTATTTATACACGGAATGGTCAATATGAAATAGGTATGTGGAGTATATTTGACTAGTGTGCACAACCCCATTATGATTAATAGGAACTTTCGGTTTAATAAGTCATTCGGTCACATGCCATTGCAAAAACTGCCATTTGTGGGGCCCAATCAACTGAAAACAGTGCCGTTCTTGAATGGTACTCTCATGTGATTGGAATGGATTATACTATTCTAAATGTGATAACCACCGATAGTACTGAACATGTTAATCAGAGTTATTTTATCGCATATCTATAAATAGATAGAAAAAAATGGTGTTCATGATAATATGCACATTATAACAAAGCATTATTGAATATTATACTGGAAGGAAAAGAGATAACCTTGGATTTTCGGGAATTTATTATTCATAGAAGGTAGTTCAATTATTGTTTTATCATTGCAAATAGTTCATATTTTTCTCCGCCAGTCGTTTGGAATAAAATGATAATAATAATAATATTGATTTTCCATTTCTACATATAGTATCTTGAATATACAATCAACATTTTTCTATGATTTTCAATAACAATATGATTTATGAACAATATAAATATGAGGTACTGTCTCAAATGGGGATCCAATAACTTGGTAGATTTCAATGCAAACAAAACACAAGCATGCCTTTTCTCTAGGATTACTATCAGCAATAACCTTTCTTGGGAAAATCACGTGAGATTAATTGCTAAAATTGCATCCCAAACACTTGGTTTTCTGTTTCGGGCCAGGAGCTATTTCACTTCCAGTCAGCTGCTTATGATCTATAAGGCACAGATCCGCCCTGTCCTGGAATACTGTTCCCATATTTGGAGTGCAGCACCCAAACATACCCTGAAACTGTTGTATTCTGTCTCGTGGGTGATTCCTCGCTCACAATCTCACTCACTGTTCTGGAACACCGTAGAAAAGTTGACGATCTGGCTCTATTTTATAGATATTTTCATGGACGATGCTCTTCTGAAATATCGACAATTGTTCCTCCCTTGGCAGTCCCCGCGAGATTAACCCGTCCAGTTGATGCTTCTTGGTCACTTTGGAGACCTGCATAACATCTCTTTCCAAAGACTCGTTCATCCAACGAACAGCGAGGCTCTGGAACACATTGCCAAGGGAGGTGTTCCCCGAGGCATATAACCTCCAGAAATTTAAGAACACCAATTCCTACCTTATTTCCCTTGGTTCTCACGTTGTTCTCTGAACATTACAGGATATCCATTTTCGTGGGAACCAGAACATTGAAAAAAATGTATGTATAATATAGTCACTGTTGAATTTGTTGACCAATGTGTTATTTTTGACTTGAACATCTTTTCATGTAGATTTTATTTTTCAAACTGATTGGTAGATGGTTATATAATTTCTGACCAACGTATTAAAAGCTTCGTTGCCCAATTGATTTTTGAGATCTAGGAATGACAATATTTGAACTGTCTCGAAAGCGTGTTGATTGAGCTTGCTGTGTGTTGGTAATAGTAAATTATCAACTAGTTGTAATAATGATTTTTTGTGGAATAATTGTCTGAGTTTGTAGATTATCTTGACTATTTCACTCATCACATAATCTGACCAATCACAAGCCAGAGACAACGTGTGCCTATCGCGAAAACATGAGCAATTTCAATTCTGATTGGTCTGACAACCTTCATGTTTTCAACGATGTAACCATAGATGAACGAGTTATGATGTAACCATGGATAGCAAAGCAAAGTCTGTCAGTTTGGCATACAATAATTATGGCAGTACCTGCAGAATGAATCAATCATTTATAATAAATGCTTTTTATGATTCGTGGACGTGAAATAGTCTAGCAAGATACCACTCTGTTCTGAATATCTTCTCATAATTCTGTCTTTCATTATTAACTCAATTGTGTTGCCACACAATGAAGCAACAGAATTATCTTGAATATTCAGAACATCTTGATATTACTTATAATTTTTTTTGGGCAATTTATAATGGTTTCATGTACATCAATATGCTATACATTTATTGTCCCAGGGGCGACGGAAAAGAGAATCAAATATAAAAAATAACTTCCTATTAGGAAATGTAAAAAACTTCACAAACGATCAGTTTTCTACAAAATACTTGAAAACATGGCATGATTTGCTATAATACAGTAGCTTCCTAAATTGAAATAATCTACAATATACAATATACAGGCTGATCCATCTAAACCGAACATTAGACGTACTTATTTGGAGTTCAATGTTGTATATGGGATGCACACCGAATAGCCGAATACTGAATACAACGATGGAGCATCGACCGAAGCATATAAGGAAAAATTATTAACTTCACTGAAACAGAATATTAATAATATAGAAATTCAAAAATGTTATTCTGAAAAATTTAATAAAATTTCAATGATCCAAATCTACCTTCGATAAACTATGGTGTAAAAATAGCAATGTCTGTGTTTCCCTGAGAATATTCTTCTAGTGCAAGCGCTAGTAGCTGTTGCCGGAATAAATTTTCTGGCCATTACACACAAAATCCACATTTCTCATCAGTAACGGAAACTGTACATATCTCTTCATTCATAGAAGCATTATTCCCATAGTGAATTATTTATTTTTATCCTTATAATTTCACTATTTTTGATAAGGGTAGATCTTCATCGTTATCATCTTCATAATTGCCCACTGCTCTAGCCAAAAGTATCATCAATAAATAAGCACTTATCTCAACAGTAATATTTTGGTTTATCCAGCGCTTACGGAATAGTTGCGATGAATTTCAGAAAGTGTAATTTGTATTTCAGAAAATATATAAAATACAATTGACGTTTTCTGAAATCCAATTGACTATTATGAATTACAATTGATGTTTTCTGATATTGAATTGATGCTTTCTGAAATTTAACTGGAAAATGTGTAGTAATTACACTAATCTGAAAATTTTTAAACAGGGGTTATCGCTTGGGCCCTGGAAAATATTTTCAAGATGGCAGTACTTCCTGTTATAGTGGACATCAAAATCGTTAATTTATATGGAAAGCTATGTTTTAATTGCTTTTCCAGGTTCCTTATGTTATTTCAGGGTGATCTTCATCAGCCTTCGCTATACCTAGGGTCCACCACGGGAAAATATTAGATTATAGCTCACGGTTTTTTGTCTCCCTGCGCTACGCGTCGGGAGACAACACACGAAAAGATATATTCTGTAGTGTTCAGAGAACATCGTGAGAACCAAGGGAAATGAGGTTGAAGTTGGTGTTTTTCTTGAATTTCTGGAGGTTTTATGCCTCGGGGAACACCTCCCTTGGCAATGTGTTCCAGAGTCTCGCTGTTCGTTGGATGAACGAGTCTTTGGAAAGAGATGTTCTGCAGGTGTCCAAAGTGACCACGAAGGGATGCGAAGCCTTAACTCGCCGGGTTAATCTCGCGGGGACTGCAAAGGGAGGAACAATTGTTGATATTTGTGATGAGCATCGCCCATGAAAATATATATAGAATAGAGCCAGATCGCCAACTTTTCTAGGGTGTTCCAGAGAAGTGAGTGAGTTAGTGAGCACGGCATCACCCACGAGACGAATTGACTTTTTTTGAACAGAATCCAACAGTCTCAGGGTATGTTTGGGTGCTGCACTCCAAATATGGGAACAGTATTCCATTACAGGTCGGATCTGTGCCTTATAGATCATAAGCAGCTGACTGGAAGTGAAATATCTCCTGGCCCGAAACAGAAAACCAAGTTTTTGGGATGCACTTTTAGCAATTGATCTCACGTGATTTTTCCAAGAAAGGTTATTGCTGATAGTAATACCAAGCATCGAAATGGATGTCTTCAAAGGTATGGTTACTCCTGAGAAGCTTATGTTGGGCACAGTGAGATTGGCTTTTCTAGAGAAAAGGCATGCTTGTGTTTTGTTTGCATTGAAATCTACCAAGTTATTGGATCCCCATTCGAGAGTTGTTGCCAAGTCCATATTGATGTTGTCAACATTTCTCCTTCGTTCGTTTCTGATTTGCCTGGCTGGTATTAGAGCCCTGGAAGAGAAGGCGGTATGGAGGGTACTATCAAATATAATATAACAAGTGTCGAAAAAATTGTCGATTATTCTCCGACTTCACTTGAAGAGTTATCATAAAATTCGAAAATATAACGAGTGCGTAGCACGAGTTGTATTTTCTGAAATTTCATTATAACGAGTAATTTTGAAGGAGAAAAATATTCAGGATAATTTTATCTACACGAGTTGTATTCAACATGAGAATTTCACAATTTGTGCTCTTTTCCTTTTTTAATAATTGGAACTAGAATTTATTCCAATTCATTTAGATACATACATAGATAATTACAATTCATTACAATTGAAATTTTGAACATTGAAAGAACAGTTCTGAAATACTATTTTTGAATTCGTTTGCTCATTGTTCGTCTCATTAGAGCTGCTACAAGAGTAAATGTTTTTGCTGGCATCGCTGAATGTAGAACTGCAACTCACTCTCATTTTTGTTAGGATTTCAGAGTGTCTTTTTGGGTGCATTTTCATATAGGATTGTAGAGAACTGAAACTGCTGTGTCGTGGTTTCTTCATCATTTCTTGTTCAGACACTTCAGCTTGGGCAAGGTGAGTGACAGCGGTAGATCTATGGCTGTGATTGCTGAATTTTTTGTTCTGAATATCCAAACCCATTTTCTGACAAGTTTCTTTAGTCCATTTTGACATAGAGTTTATTCCAAAAGGACAAATTTTGTACCAACCAATACTATGCGGATCCTTCCCTTCAGGATTTGGAGTTAGGAAAAAGCGGTCGGACGTGATATGTCCTGGGCGTTTTTCCATCACTTTGTGGAATAAACGAACAGGGCTTGCTTGGAGTACATACATATGATTTTGACCAACCTTGATAGGTTTTGTTGAATACGGGATTATATTCAATACGTCCAGTCGGCCGTCCAAAATTTTTCTTTTCTACTATAAAGAAGTTTACCTTCGAGTAACATCCTTCATTGCCCCTCCTCCGGATTGTTTTCTTCGCAATATCTCAGCAATCTCATATTTTCCTCAGTTGTAGAAGCAGTTGAACTTGTTTTTCTCTTTTCGACATCTCCTTCTATGTCAGCAGATGGATTTATTTTCACATTTTAATCATTGTAGAACTTGTCTTGGAGTAGTTCTGCGACAACATTCCAATTGAATTTTATATCAGTTTCTTTGTTTTCTTCATATTGAAGGCAAAATCTTTCAATACCGTGTGGCTACGGTAGTATTGCCTACGGAATATCTCAGTTATTGTATGAAGTAAGTTTGTGAAATTTGGAGCGTCGATATAATGACATAAGAGCTAGAATTTGAGCATATTGACATGTCGAAGTTAACTTCCGGTCTGACCGGAAGTAACACCAACTTTCTTATTTTAAATAGAAACCCTATTTTTTTTCTTTTCGCTTTATTCAGCATTCGATTCCCTTTCTAATGACATATCACAAGTTGGTATCTAACCAGAAACTAGATCAGAAAAAAAATATTATTGAAATTCACCGAGTAGGCCGTGGAAGCAAAATAAAAGCCAAAAATTGAAAAGTTGGCTATGGAAACCATACGTCACTTGATAACAGTTGCTACTACTGTGATATTTTATTTTCTTTCGTCGGCGTTATAAAAAGCCGCCAAAAAAAATACTGGAAAAATTGGGGAAAAAAGCAATACTCTGTAGGTCCATAACTTAAATAGGAACATACAACTTTTTCTTGCCTGTACTAGTCAGCATAACCATTCCTTTCTAATGATATAATAGAAAGTCATTTTTTGAAATGAAATATCTTCAATCCTATCAATTTGAATTTTTTTTTTCGATAAATCTGTTTTTTTGTTATTTGAAGAATAATAATTGGATTTTTTGGTATTTCATTTCAAAAAATGACTTTCTATTATATCATTAGAAAGGAATGGTTATGCTGAATAGTACAGGCAAGAAAAAGTTGTATGTTCCTATTTAAGTTATGGACCTACAGAGTATTTTTTTTTCAATTTTTCCAATATTTTTTTTGGCGGCTTTTTATAACGCCGACGAATGAAAATAAAATATCACAGTAGTAGCAACTGTTATCAAGTGACGTATGGTTTCCATAGCCAACTTTTCAATTTTTGGCTTTCATTTTGCTTCCACGGCCTACTCGGTGAATTTCAATAATAATTTTTTCCTGATCTAGTTTCTGGTTAGATACCAACTTGTGATATGTCATTAGAAAGGGAATTGAATGCTGAATAAAGCGAAAAGAACAAAAAATAGGGTTTCTGTTTAAAATAAGAAAGTTGATGTTACTTCCGGTCAGACCGGAAGTTAACTTCGACATGTCAATATGCTCAAATTCTAGCTCTTATGTCATTATATCGACGCTCCAAATTTCACAAACCTACTTCTTACAATAACTGAGATATTCAGTAGGCAATACTTCCGTAGCCACCCGGTATATTCGCAATTTCAACTGAGGTAGGATCCTTTACGACAACATAATTTCTATTACGGCAAAAGTTCATAAATTGTTTCCATGCATACTCTTCAGATTTTCTTGTATTTTTTGGCGTATTCTGTGCAATTGCCAAATGGATTTTGTCATTTGTAGCAGTTCCCCATCTATTGGATTCCATTTCTTGATCAAATCACCGAATAATATTCAGAAAGCGAAACGATATTGAAACGTCAGTTACGCGTCAGAATTTCCGTTACCATGGATATCGAGCTCGTGGTATAATCATTTATTAATTTGCTGCAGGAGAGAATAATCAACAGAGCTTCAACCTCATTGAATATGTTTTATCATTAGGAGCAATTTTATTGGGTTTTTGACAGTTGCGTGAAATTCTCATGAAATGAAAATATTTTTCCAGAACGAAGTGTCCCTCCCTCGCACCAACACCGGCCTCATCGCGCCGCTGTCCAGTCAGTCGGCCGGCCTGCAGAGGGCGCAGGTGACTCACGGACTGCGCGAGTTGCTCCTCTGCAAGGACAAGGACGGCAAAGTGGGCGTGCGCGTCAAGGCCATCAACAACGGCGTGTTCGTGTGCGTGGTGGTGGACAAATCGCCGGCTGCCATGGCGGGACTGCGGTTCGGCGATCAGATTTTGCAGGTTAACGAGGTGAACGTCGCTGGATACTCCATGGAAAAGGTGAGTTTTGTAAACCAACGGTCATGGACTTTATTAAATTTTTTGTCATTATTAAATTGTTCATCTGGTGGAGTTGTGACTGTAAGTTCCATCACCCCTCCTGATTTATATCTCCTCCACTGCAAGTTATGGATCACCTACGTTGGTTGAAAAAAACAATTGTTTGATAAGAGCAATAATGGGTATGTTCCGAAATTCAACTTGGTTATTTCGGTAAATAGTTTTTCGTTCCGTAAATATCGAATGTTCGGTTGGTTCCTGAAAAAAGGATATTTACGGAACTCGGTAGCTGAAAAATCGGCAGATTCACTGTCACCAGAACGACCGTCGATTTTCTCTGGTGAGTTTGGTGACTTTGGCTATATTCCGAATTCAACTGGTCAGTACTGTCAGTAGATCCACTGAATCTGCTGAAAATCTGTGTTCCGAAATATAAAATCAGAAATACAGTGCTGTAATTCGGGACACGTTTTCATGGTTTTCATCAGTAGTCAGCAGCAGTTGATCAGCTGGTGATATTTGTCAGTCTGTAGTCATCTGGACTAGATATTTAATATTTAACATGGAAGAGCAATCGATTCTTGCAGCCTCCATAGTTTCTACGATTATTGACGATGACGATTCAGGCTCGAGTGATAAAGAATAATTGGACATTTTGTTGCCATTAATTTCTCATGATGGACCAGATTGAGAATTGAAAGATTTATAGAAAACGTAATGATGATGAATTTAGGAGACATTTCAGGTTTATTTAGTTATTTATTTAGCCAATGCTGCTTCTTCTTTTGTTACCTCTACTACTTCATACTCAATATTATTCTCAGCGCTTATTATTTCAATAACAGGTATTTTCAGATATTGAGAATAATATAATTAACAACGGAAATGAATGTTACATTCCTTCCCCCTCTAAAATAATGACAGTTCACTGAAGCCACACTACCTTCTGATACTCAGCAATTTCAGCAGAATGTTGAGTCGAAATATTTGGAATGAATAGTATGGCTGCTCACAAGCATCTGTCACTTTCAGTGAATTTTTTGATTTCGGAATGAAAAATCAGCAGATTCAGTACTGTCAGTTGAATTCGGAATATAACCATAGTCTTGACGTTGACGTGTTTCAATTTACGGTTTGATTTTTTGTTTCACAACGAAATACGATACTCCCATTTCAGTTATTTCGTCAAGTTCCGATGGATTCGTTTGCTGAGGTAAATTAATAATCGATACATTTTCAATCTGACGATGTTACTTTCTTACTGTGCACAAGAATTAGGGTGTTATAACTGAAAATCATACTGGCAGAGCATGAATTGTTCAAAAAATGATCTGAACTATAATTTGACACATAACTGGTATTCCGTAAATAATCCACAATCGTAGTAACCAGTAGATAACCATTGTCAAAATTGTTGGTACCGGCCCTGAAAGCATCGGTAACCTCGGTTGATTAACGAAACATATCCAATATCTGTATATTGTCGTGTATGTATTTATGACGACCTTTCCAAAATATTATACCCCCCTTGAGGGTACTAATTCCATAGACTTAATTTACTTACTCGCTTGGCTTCGAGAGGGTTGTTGTTGAATTGTGGAACACAAAGAAATGAAGAGAGTATTTAAAAACATAAAAGAAACATGTTTATTCAATAAAACAATTATAAGTGTACTCACAATTTGGATACTAGGGGAACCATCTTCAATGGGCTCAGAGAACCTTTCCTGCTCTACGCCCGAAGTAGACTGACTTCCTATTTTTCATATTCAAACTACTCCAACCAATATTTCCCCCTCTGATGGTATATTAATTCATATATCTCAGCAGTTTTAGAATCAATGTATTTTACGTTCAATCTGAGTTCATACAGGTTATGGAAATATTAGTTGTAATAGGAAACTTTAGTTCCTGTCTAGGTATGCCTGTCATGCAATACATTGGATTTGAAATGAATGTTATTTTATAAAAATAATTATTTTCGATATACTACATGACAATATGTTCCCCATGAGCTACAAGTTCTTCCATTTTTGTGAATCCTGGCCTCCGAATTATCCCACAGCGAATAGTCACGAGCGTGCGTGAAGTTTTCTTTGTGCACTGAGTGCGAAAAAGCAAAACTATTCAAATATCCCACTGGTATGGAAAATTTGTCTGTCCACAGGTAAATCAAGCTTCATCTAGCCATATTATTAACTGCCCTTCTGCGCTAAGTCAGTGTTCATCAAGTCGTACCATCAACCACTCAATAAATAAACTAACCGGATATGCAATCAATTTGCAAAATGTTAATAATTGTTCTTCCATTTTGAATATTACGAACAAATGATTCAATCTTCTATAATTTTCTATACTTTTTTTTTATTGTTATGTAATTTTTTGTTGTATTGTTCTTTCAACCAAGTTCAACTAAGAATTATTCATAAAGTTATATTTTTTATTTTGATTGTGTTCTGATATGAAGCTCGTAGGAAATATTTTGTTCCTAACACGTGCGCAAAAACTTATAAATGTATTTACGTGTGGAAAAGTAAGACATTGCGCACTTGTTAGGAAAATAACCAGTGGCGGCTCCTCAGAGGAAGCAGCGGAGGCTGAGCCTCCTCAGAGATTTTGAACCCCTCAAAAAGATACACATCAATACTTCAACTTTTAATATCTTATACAGGGTGTTTCTTAAGTACGTGTAGAAAATTCAGAGGCATGTTGCTGACGTCAAAATGAGAAGAAAAGTTCGTATGAACATAGGTCTGAAAGTTATCCGTTTCTGAGATACAGAGTGTCAAAGTTGAATTCTTATTTTTGTTTTTCGTTATTAAATTTCAAAATAATTGTGATATTGGAATGAAATTTGGTATCTAGTGGTATTTTCCAATGACAATATCAAATTTCATGTTAGTTTGTCTCTTTCGTGAGGGTGGCGCCAGCTACATGTCTTTTGAATCTCTTGAAAAGTCATAACTTTTTCGTGCATACCTGTATAACGTTTTATAGTAAAAAAATAGATTTCTAGAACACTTTTGTTTAAAAAATATATTCCTGGTAGAGGTCGCTGCGAGCAACTCTTTTCGAGTTATTGGGATTTGAAATAATCAATGCAAGTAATTTGGAATGACAAGAAGGTGGAATTCAAAATTGATTTATTAAGTAAGGGAAATTATTTTTCTTTAATACTGATAATGATAACAGTTTTCATAGATGAAACACACTCTAGTTGGAAAAGCTTGGATCACAAGTACAGAAGACAACAAACTTCACTGTCACAAGAACGGATTGAAATAACATGACAAGTACTCACTTGATTGTTATTTTTTAAATTGGAAGAGTACAAAAAAGTAGGAACAAAGAAGTAAGAATCATATTTTGCCTACATTCCAGTGTTGAATGTAGGAGAATATGGGATGAAAGAAGAAAAATAAATAATTCAAATGCATTGATCATTTCGAATCCCAATAACTCGAAAACAGTTGCTCGCAGCGACCCCTACCAGGAATATATTTTTTACACAAAAGTGTTCTAGAAATATATTTTTCTACTATGAAACGTTATACAGGTACGCACAAAAAAGTTATGACTTTCCAAAAGACTCAAAAGATATGTAGGTGGCGGCACCCCCACGAAAGAGACAAAATTACATAAAATTTGATATTGTCATTGAAAAATACCCCTAGATATCAAATTTAATTCCAATATCACAATAATTATTTTGAAACTTATTAACAAAAAACAGAAATAAGAATTCAACTTTTGGGTGTATGATAAATTGACATTCATCATACAGGGCGTGGAAAAAAATTCTGAATTGAGACTCTATCACGATTCTGCGATTAGAGGTCTATAAAAATCACAAGTTTCCATTCTTTCAAGTTTAAACCCCCTGATCGAGTGTATGAAAGTGTTGAAAAGGAATATTCTGAGATAAATTATGAACATACAAAAATTGATATATATTTATATAAAGAAATGCATTGAGAATTCGCATTCTCTATGTGATGAGAATATCAACTCTTTTTCAGTTTATTTAATAGAAAATAACTACTTTCCTGGCTATATGCCACGATGAACATTGAATTATATCTATTGAACACAAACGATAAGAGTTTGAATAAACGAATAACTTCCGGACATATATTTATACGAACTTTTTATTTTGACGTCAGCAACATGCTCCTGAATTTTCTACACGTACTTAAGAAACGCCCTGTATATACATATTAATATTTTTTGACGAGTTTGCATATTTCACCTCTAGTTCTTAGTGCGGCAGACGGTGCGGTCTATCGTTCAATAACCCAATCATGGAGTATAACTTAATGAAACCTCAAGGACATTTTTTGTCATCATCATCCACATATATAATGAGGAATTACGACATCGCCCCATGGTTGAGAGATTTTCTACAGGGAAAAATGTACCAAAATCGCGTTTTTCGATATGTCTGAAAAAAAGCAGTCTAACAATAAAACTGATGAAGCTAGAGAAATATTTGAGGGCTCATTTTGTAGCCTTAAGTATTACCAATCGAATGGTGTATTGACAATCCATATTTCATCATCTGAATATTAAAAAATGTCATCACTTCCAAAAAGTATCCTTATTTTTCAACATGTTATCAATCTTCAACAACCAAGAACTCGATTATTTTCCAAATAAACTACATCATATTTTCTCATCAAAAACTGCGGAATTTCATGAGAAACATTTCATCTCGATCAATGTTGTGGATATTCTCAACAGTTTTCGTTCTACAATTAATTTTTTAGGACAGCGCACCACAGTCGAGGCGGTTCGTCGGAGCAAAAATGTATAAACAATAAACCATCCTAAGCGTGAACATTCGATAGAACTTTCACTCGTCGTGCGCTTAGACGGTATTCATCATTGAAATATGCTCATTTTGTCGAAATGGTGAGCAATTTATATTTGACTAGATATTTTTGAATGTATAGTTGTTGTCACAAATGAAATTCAGGAGGTTTTTATCAAGAAACATCTCACGAAACACTGAAAAATGTACATTTATTGCAAATGCACTTCTGTGTTGAACATGTTTTTCTTTAGCAGAATAGAGAAAAAAAAATTATGACATTGTCTGGTACTGGAGCATTTGTCTCATACATCTATGGTCTCATACATCTATGGTCTCATACAAGATTGTATCAGATTTTCCTTTCTTTGCCATCCATATTGTAAAGGGTCATGTTTTTTCATCAGCCCAATCTGACTACTGGCCCATATTCTAGTTGGATGAAAAGATCTACGAATAAAATAAAATATGAATTTAAGGTTGGTAATAATATATATCAAATGTTCATTGTACTTGATTATTGACCAAAAATTCAGAACTGTTCATTACTTCGTTATTCCAATGATAATATAAGAGAAGGACTAGTACGTCAGTATCGTCAGTTTTAATAATAACAGAACTATTTTCTTCGATGGAAGTTATTATCTGGAATATTGAACGGGTGTCAGCTCCTTCATGGTTGATGCACCGTGACATATAGTCTTTGTCAATTGATGCATTTCTGACCAGAAAATTGAAAATTCAATTATAAAAATATAGGTACAAAATACAGGCTCGAAAATTTCATGAGTGCCATTTTATCCGGTGTAGATTTCAGAAAACTCCTGTAGTTGGGCCCTGCTCGACTTCCTGTAATACTGAATATTCCCATATCATGATGTCATTGTCTCTCCATGCCTTTTATGGAATCATTGAGATGATATCTATCGAATATCAGATGAACTGAATCACAACGAGAATATTTTTCGAAAATGAGAAGCATTCTTTGAAGTATCTTCACTGCCAAATCGTTGAAAATCTTGAAAGATTTCTCATGCATGTCGTTCAGAATTACCATTATTCCATCTAGAAAATCGAAACTCCATACCAATATGTCACAATCTAGTTTTAACTTTTTGGAAAGTTTTGATTCAGATGTTTTTCTCTTAGTCCCATCTTCATGAAAAAGAGGGAGTGGGACTGGTGTGAGTTCGTAGGATAAAATGTTAGTGAAATCTATAAATCTTGGAACTGAGCAGCACTTATAATTCTTCTGAAAATAAACTTTGGATTCATTTCATTATTCTTTCCTGACTTCCTATAGCCAATTCGATCATCAGTGAAGTTTGAAATTATGAAACGACTGACAGTCTTCCAGAAACTAACTGCGTATTTCGGTAAACCTGAGTTTTCAGTTCCGGCTCTCTCCTTGAGAGATATTTTGATATCTTCTCGCGTTATTTCACCAGTTGCTATATATACAAGATTATTGATAGGGTTAGATGTATCAAACGGATTTATCCAAGTATTTTCTATCAATCTTTCCATCTTTTTAACATCAGTGTCATCTCGTAATCTTTCGGCTTGACCATATCTGAATGCATTTTCTTCAGATACCATTCGCTCTGATTTCTTGACGTATTCACCAACAAGATGCCTTGTAATCAGCAATCTAAAAAGTAGTTGTTTTCTATTGAATAAACTGAAAAAGAGTCGATATTCTCATTACATAGAGAATGCGAATTCTCAATATATTGCCTTATATAAATATATATCCATTTTTGTATGTTCATAATTTATCTCAGAAATATTCCTTTTCAATCTAAAAAGTGTTCCTTTTCTTGTTTTGTTCGTAAACGTAAGTAAATCAAATAGAAACAGAGCACAATAATAATAGTTGGTCGTTTTTCCTGGAATGATCGTCTCGCATACCGAGTAGCGGGCGGTAGTTACAGGTGTACAGTAAAACGCTTATATCGAGAAAGCTGTTCAAGATAGATCTTTATATAATCGATACGAAATGATTGTGATGAATTTTCGCAGTTTTTGATGTGAAAAAAAGTATCATTCATTGGTTAAATAAGCAATTAATTGGGTGTTGAAGCAAACTGTAATGTGATAAAAAAGCGTAATCCTCTTATTCTTTTGTATTCTTAACATATTCGAAAATTTCGAAAAATACATATATCTATATCAAATTGTAGCCGAATGTTTTCTCTATAATATGAAGAAAAAAACGTTTCCATACCTCCTATCATAGTCGTAATATATCAACCTAATTAGAGGAAACAAGAAATTCCAATTTTTTTACATTAATCCCAATATTTTTTCTCTCGACCAATGGAGAGTGTCGTAAATCTTCAAAACACATGTGAGAACGATGAATGTAATATAATTTCAAGGTTTCATTAAGTTATACTCCATGATTGGGTTACTCGATAAATAGAAGACTTTTCGCAAGAGATCTGCTAGTCTATCTGTTCAGGGAAGTTCAGGCTCCCAGAATTTCGCAAGTTTTTAAGTTCGGCCATGTTTAGGTGTGTCCGCCATTTTGTTTAATGGAGAAATTCAATAAATATGGAGTTAACATTTTGTCTTCTTCAATTCTCTCTCAAAAAAAAACCAGAATCGATGGAATCGGTCCATCAATAAAAAATATATTAATCAAAAACAAAATTCAGGTTTTTTTCGGACAACCCTATATTATAAACTTCCACTACAGAGCACCACTGACTTTGCGCGTTTGTCAATCCCACAGGTGCACGAAATGTTCAAGAAAAGTCCGGTGAACGGCATCAAGGTCGTCGTGCGCGACAGACCGTTCGAACGAACCATCACCCTGCACAAGGATAGTGTCGGCTGCATCGGATTCCAGTTCAAGAACGGCAAGATCGTCAGCATCGTGAAGGATTCTTCAGGGGCGAGGAATGGCGTGTTGACCGACCATCAGCTGTTGGAGGTGGACGGCCAAAATGTCGTCGGGTTGAAGGACAAACATATCAGCGGCATCATTGAGAATGCCCCCCAGGTGGTCACTATTACTGTTATACCCAGTTTCCTTTACGAGCATATGGTGAAGAAGTAAGTAGAGAACTGTAGAGAGTCTTTATTTCTCAGGCATTTACTTTGGCGTTTTTTGGAGTAAGACTTCTGGTATAGTATTTGCAGTCAGTTGAGACACCGAAAAAAATTTTAACCGGCCACGTGTCGGCAAATCTATTGAGCATCTGCCTCCAATAGTGGCGGTGAATATTTTGTTTCGAGACAGTGATGTAACTTTCCACCGAGGTTTGTATGCTATTTTATTTACAACTATAATCTTCTAAACAAAAATTCGGAAAAAAGCAAATTTCATCTAAAGAATACGTATTTGTTATTTCATACAATTGATCGGTTGGTGTATGAAATGGGAGACGATAAAATACTTTTAACCATTTTCTATATAATGTTGATATTCTATTATTTATTTTTAATTCACATAATAATACATGAACAATGGATTCATTAATAATAATAATAATAATATAAGTTTATTCAAAAACGTTTACAAAATATACATTGGAATAAACATATAGGTAATTTGAATAAACTGGGAAAAACCTTACGAAGTTAACCTTGTAGTAAGGATAAAAAATAAATAAATGTACATAGGTCAATAAATATTTAACAATATCAAATTATCACAAGGGAAAATTGAAAGCTAATTTTGATATTTCCAATTTCTTCCTGAGAAAATGAATAAAAAAACATATTTTGAGGTTATATTACCAAATCAAATATAGAATATGTCTAGGTTTTTATAAATTTACTATTGGTTCTAGAAAATGTAAATGAAACATACATCAATTGTTGAAAAGGAATATTATCAGATAAATTATGAGCATACAAAAATGGATATACAGGGTGTCCCTAGACCAGTGGGACAATTAAATATCTTCTGCACCAAAAGGAATTTTCAAAATATTATAATTCCACATCATATCGCATCATGAGTGCTATCTTCAGGAATGACTATATTTTATACGAGGGGCGCAAGGAAGGCTCACAAAATCGAACATCAATTTTTTCAAATGGAACACCCTGTATTTCATTGCATTTTCATATTTTCCTTGAAGAGCTGAATTCAACGACCTAGCACACTTGGGGTCTAGCGGGAATGATTTCCGAGATATAGGGTGTGGAAAATCGAGATTTTTCATTTTTGGGAATTTTTTGTGTCAAAACTATTCATTATTGGTCAAAACGGCTTACATGTCCATATCTTAACTTTTGATTTACTATTTACTCGTATTTAATTGAAACAAATACAGGGTGGTGTAGAATTCTCAGTTTCAGTCGGAATTCCATTTTTGTATGTTCATAATTTATCTGAGAATATTCCTTTTCAACACTTTCATACCCAATCAGGGGGTTCAAACTTGAACGATGGAAACTTGTGATTTTTATAGACCTCTAATCGCAGATTCGTGATAGAGTCTCAATTCAGAATTTTCTTTCCACGCCCTGTATGATGAATGTCAATTTATCATACACCCAAAAGCAATACATCAATTGATTTATTCTGTAATTTCCCTAAATATAAATAAAAAAATTGTAAATTTGAATAAATGAGGCAAAAGTAAATACACCAAGTATTTTATAAGAATAAAATTTCGTATTTAAGAATAAAACTTCGTATTTGGAATGAAATGCCTTATGAGGCAAAAGTAAATACACCAAGATCAAAAGAAGTGGGGTGGTAGAGGGGGTCATTTGCAATCAAACTAACCATGGCTCTTTTCTCGAAAACTTCTGTGTAACTCATACAAATAATTGAAAAAAAAAAACTAAAATAAAAATAAAAATTCTGCTGATATACGATTCAAGTATAATTATGATCTATGCATTTCCGCTAATATAGATAATCAACTATTAGTTATCTTTATAGGTAATTTGTATGTTATAAAGAATATAAAACAGAAGGAAGTTGTAAAAATATGTGTTCACTAATTTGTTTATATTTGTATTTATTTTGTTATTTATATTCCAATTTAATTCAAGCTTATATTGTATACCTATAAACAAGTATTTTAATACTTCGTAGGATGATCTCTGATCAATATTTATTTATTCATCACTCACAAATCGCAGTTAATATTTGTATACATGTAACATTTGTGGATGAATAAAATTATTATTATTATTATTATTATACAGGGTGTCCGCTAAAAGGAGGTCAATCCATTAACCACATATTCCTTGAACAAAAACAATATGAGTTTCTAAATATCATTTTTCATTTTAGCCCTTCATATTCGGTATACAGGGTGTCAAAGTTGGAAATTAAAAACTGTTTTTTTCTAATTACTCGCGTATTTGATAAGATATTAATCTCAAAATTGGTACATTACTTCAGCACAAAGAGTTACATCGTGTGAGGAAAACAAAACAGAAATTCAAGATACTGGGGGTCAAGTTCACACTTACCCCCATATTTTGTTTGTACGTGCGCTAATGACTTCCTATCTATTTTCCTTCAAGTGTTCAATCATTTTTGAGTATTTTTCGTTTCCTGTAAAATTTCGATTGAATCATTTGTTTTTAAGATAATTCGAAAAGTACTGGTTATTGTTTGATGCCTATGCGGCTTAGTTAATCTCATAATGTTCACATACTCCTATTTATTTCGTCGAAATTGAGAGAGGGCGTATCTTTTTACGTACGAAAAGGTAAATATGGAAATACCAGGTGCTCGGAGCAAATGTACTAAAATAATTTTTACAAAAAAAAAATTAAAAAGCGAGTAATTAGAAAAAAACAGTTTTTAATTTTCAACTTTGACACCCTGTATATCGAATAAGAAGGGCTAAAATGAAAAATGGTATTTAGAAACTCATATTATTTTTGTTCAAGGAATATATGGTTAATGGATTGACCTCCTTTTAGCGGACACCCTGTATATGTGGTTCAAATTGTTGATGGTTCAAGTGATTCAATTTTTCTGAGAAATGTGATCCATTTGAAAAAAAAATTACAAAAAGGCTAGTTTGAATAGCCCCATATGTTATACCATTTCGGAATCTGTATTGAATGGACAACTTTTCCATTTAATTGGTTATCTTTGCGAGATAGTTTTCAAATCTGCCAGCGGCATTTAAAAATCAACTTAAATATTTCATTCAATGACGAAACTTAAGGAACGCAACATTTTTCTCAGGTAATTGATAAGAAGCAACAGATGTAACAAAATTATTTCTGGGGAAAGCTGATGGATGCACCTTTGGATGAAATTTGTTAAAGAAAAAATCACAACTGTTACATAGTTTCATTGTAATAGATTCTTTTATAGATATGAAAACGAATTAATAATTTTTGAACCTTCAACAATTCGATAACCAAATATTTGGTTAGTTTTGATTGGAAATGACCCTCCCCCTACAACCCCACTTCTTTTGATTCATTACTTATGGGACACCCTGATTATTCAGTTCACAATAATTTGTCATCAATATAGAGACCCAGATATTTTGTAACGTCTGTATATCTGAATCTATTGTTGAATGTTCAATATCAATCTTTTTGTTTCAGAATGGCTGGTTCGCTGCTGAAAAATCTCATGGATCATACTATCCCTACATTGTAAGCCCCTTTTATATTTTGACAATTATTTCATTTACAATATCCACGCTTAGTTGACAATCAATTATTTTCTATAATTCTGTCCAAGGTGACATTTTCAAAGAAAAACTTGAAATAACCAGTTTTCAAGTTACATTCTGATTACTCATCACCTCTCTACTGACTAAAGGTGCATTTATGCAGCACAAATTTACACTCAATTGACTCAACGTCAACTTACATTTACACCTCAACACTAACTATAAAGTTGAACCTCTTATTATACATGGTTGATTTTATACGGAGAAATTAAAACTGAATTGAACTATCAAGTTGGCCAATTTTCAACTTTCTAGTGTAAATGTTGATTTTTGAGATTACTGCGCAATTGTTGGCGTTTAAGAAGCCAGAATTTTTCAACCTCCAAATTATGATTGATGTTTTTCGGATTTTTCGATGTTTACCTGCTTTCTGCCAAAATTATTTCCAATTGTGTAATCTTTTTATTATAATGGCAAACGAGGATGACCATTGATTGATCTCGATATTCGCCAATGCTGAAACTATTCTTCGTTGCTTTTACACTGAATACGCATACGCAGTTTTTGTTAATTTTTCTGCATAAAAAACCATCAAAACAAAAGTGATTAATTTTTATGCGAGTGAAGTTTAGTTCAAGTTGAAGTTTGGTCCTAACTGTGCTGTATAAATCCAATTTAAATAACCTCTTACAGTGTTAAGAGCATCCTCTAATCATAATCTAATAATTATTATATCACACTGAAATGCTAGGAGTGTGCAAATGAATTCAGTCATAAAAAATTGGTATTCACATAATTTCATTGGGCTCAACAAGAGAATTTTGGTTATTTGGAAAAAGCACCCAGCTAAGTTGGCGCGACAAACCTCTTTTGATGTGAGGGGGATATACAAATATACAATTCATATAAATGGGATAAAACACGGTGGCATTAGGACTGATTGCCTAAAGAATCTTAGGACATTTTATGTACAGAGCATTGTTGAATCCAAATTTGGGCGCTGAGTTCAGGAATCGAGCACGTGACTGAGATGACTATGAATTATAAGCAAAATGCGCTTGACAATTCGACATAAAAGGGAATTTAGTGATGAGTGTGTGCAACATATGATTTCATACTTTGTTCTCGTAATCATTTCAAAATTGCTCGCTCTGAGAATAGCTGCTACAATACAGAACTATCACAAACCTGAGTATTCTGATTAAGATTCAAATTTACTCAATTTCACAAGATGCTGACTGTTCCAGAAATCTCGGAAAAGTTCAGCGACGAGCTTAGCTAACCTAAAAACTTTCTCTATGTTATGAAAATTCTCATCACTAGTTCCACAAAATAAAGCTATCGAACAGGATCACCACTAACGAAGAAATTCTGGAATTGTCATATACAATGCTCCACAATTGAAGTGGGATACCTCGAATTTTCGCCCAAATTTGTAAGTTTTTAAATGGATCTATTTATTTCAATTCGGTTTTTAGATTTCAGAGGCCCATTCCATTAGATTGAGATTTTTTTTTCATTTTTGCGAAACATTCAGGTGTCCCACTTCAATTGCGGAGCACTATAGTATGGTCGGGAATCTGCACTATTCAAAGGAATTATTGACTGGAATGTAAAAAAACTGATAGTTAGTACGACTTACGACAATATATGAAGGTTTTCATACATTCGAGTCAATTTCAGAGAACCTGGAATATGCATTGGTGGCAACCCTGTTGAATGTTGTATTACTTCTAACCTTGAATTCCCTATTATTCTTTGTTTTATGCAATCTATGTTTATACTATAGTTACTCGCTCGAGTGATAAGAGTATTCTGAAAATGTTTTCAAATTTCTTGTGATTGAACTAAAGTCAAACCTTGGACAGGAATTGAAGAAAATAAATTGACTTTTTTCCAGCCTTCAAATATAATAAATTACATTATTCTTCAGATTATAAATAGAATTACAGATAATTTCATAAGTATGTAGCCAATATGTTTTTATTACTGTTAGTTATAAATATCACCCTCGATTTTTGACTCTAGCAAGATATGGGACTCCTGTGATACAAGGGTGAATAGGTAGAACAATGCAAACAGGTATACCTGAATCGGATATGCTTTCCACTTTTTCGAAAAAAAAAATGCATAATAGTTGTTTTCATAATAAAATTTGACCCATCAATTAAACTGAAGTAGGCCTTGATAATTTAAATATTGCAGATTAACTCATTGATAATTCGGACCTGCATTTTGGGAACCTTGTATGTAGGATAGCTGGAATTTTTCATGACCTCCCCCTGGATCCGCCGTTGCTGTTTCAGCCACTTTGACTTTAAAAAGTTCAAAAAAACTCTGTATCAACATGAAATAGTATTTTATGCAACTATCATGTGATGACAGCTCTTAATGCAGGAGCACGAGGTAACTTACGATACGAGCCAACGGCGAGTGTGATTAACCGTGGGCTAGTCTATTAATAGCCATTACATGATCGTTGCATACACTATTTTTCTACGACCAATGAATTATAAAAGCAAAAATTAATTTCATACTATTAAAATTTCAACATATTCCAGCATCTCCAGTCCATTAATTGCCTGTACTTTTGACGCAATGTCATTGAACGTCATTTGAAATTGAATGTCAAACAACTCAAGCATGCAAGATAGAAACATAGACCTACTTTTTTATACCCAAGTACGTGTTTCTATAGGTCGAAAATTGTTTCATAATGAAAAGTACGTGTCTTCTTGGTCGAAATCTGTATCGTAATGAAAATCCGTGTTAAAATGAACACTCTTAAGAAATCAGTAGCAGATATATAATTCGCGTATTGTAATACGGGAGTGGAAAAAAGTAATGATTTATGCACAATACAATTCGGAATCTTTTCCATACATAAAGACGCCGTTTTCAGTGAACGTTGATATTTTGTGAATATATTCAACACATCGCAAATTGATTTCCTTGAAAGATAACATATCTTCAAGTAGATAACAACAATGAAACGGGAATGCCGATTTAGCTGCATAAAATATTTTGTATCAATTTTCAACAGCTTATTGAAATTGCTGAGGATTATGAAATTAGTATTGAATGAAAAATTAATGTGCATAAATCTGCCTTGAAGAAACTCAAGATATAAACTTGATGTGAATCAACTGGAAGGTTCAAGTCTGACATATTTGATTTTATTTCTCGATAGTCACCTTGCTTCAACTATCACATATGAATGTTCTTGTTAGTGTTAATATTCGATGGTTTGATTTGATAGTCATAATTATTATGTTTTATATTTTATACAATATTATTATGCAATATTAAATATATTATAGATAATTATATGTAATGCCTTCGAACATTTCATGTTTAGTGTTGTAAACTTACCAAGTTATGTTACGCACCAAAGAATGATAGTTTTGTGATCAATCTGTGCCAGATGACAAATATGGTAGTTTTTTTATCAAAGAATATATAAGTATATCATGTAAACGCCCTTTTTATTTGAAAAAATCCTCGAATGCTGGTCAGATAGAACCTTATAACATTTCTATGATCCGTTTTATCCCAAATAAAAAATAGAAATGATAACAGCGCGTATAGTTGCTGGACAGATTCGTCTCACTTTTTTTCGGGATCGTTAGACTCTAGCTATCCTTCAGCAGGATGATAAGACACCTAATTTGTACGAGATGAAAAATGGCTTTTTTTTCTTTTGGAGTGCATGAAAGAAAATGCCTATAACGTTTGTGGAAAATCATGCATATGAAGAGAAGGTAAGTGTTGGATTTTTTTAACTTTTGGAGGTTAGTAGTTCTTGAGAACACTTTCATTGGCAAAGAATTCCAAAGCTTCGCCGTTCTATAGGCGAACGAGTTATGGTAGAGTGTTGTACAACATATTTCAAGGTTAACGACGAAAATATGTGATGACTGGGCCTGTCGAGTTCGTCTGACTGGTATTGCTAGTGATGTAATTATAGCAAAGATTTCTCAGGAACATTTCCCGTGGAAGTACCTATAGAAATGTGAAAGAAAAAGGACCGTCAGACTAATTCGTTTCAAGACCAAGCAGAATGCGTCTGATAGTGCTAGGAAAAAGGCGATTTCGAGCATTCGACTTTCAACAAGAGAAATACCTGGAAATCTAAGGTGGAGTTTGCTGTGAAATTTCAGCTGTTCGCTTCCCCTTGTGATGTTCTTTCTAATGTGCTGTCGACTTTGGAGAGCGGTGACAATAAACAAACGAATGGGAATCATTGGGACAATCCATGACTTTCGATCTTTTTGGCATTGTGTGTTTCTTCAGATGCATCTATTGTTTGGCTGCAGTTATTCCTGGCTTCAACATATTCTGCTCTATAGTCACGAGGTTAGGGTCTTTGCGCCAGCGATGGTAGGTTGTTTGTTTCTCTAGAACAGTTCTTGTTGAACCAGGGTTTCTCTTTTTAGACAGTTGTAGGAAAAATATAGTGTGTAACACATGCGTGAAGTAATAATTGAATCTGTTGAAGATAAATCATCCATAAAGTAATATTATGTGAATTATTTTGGCTTTTGGCAGTGAAGAAAAAACATTTACATATCAATACAGATGCAGAAATGTCAAGTTTTTTGACAGCTGTACAAAAAATGTTTTCGCGTTTTTTCATGGTTTTTGAAACACCTTAAGAGATAAAAAAATTGTTAAATCAGTTGCTTCGTCCAAAAAAAATATTGAAATTACACAAAGTCGTTGGTGTATATTTTTTTGTCAATAATAAATAAACCCCTTAATAATGATGTTTTCAAATTACATCGAAATTGGGTGAAGCATGTCTGAAATAAGAATAAAAAACCAATTTAGAAACAAAATTTGAACACCTTGTATTTTGAAAACTAAGTAACATTCGAAAAAGAAGTTTCTTCTTAAAATTAAGTGAGGATTCGCTCCTTCCGGTTGTCAAAGAGGTTAGGACACCCTGTATGAACTCACCTCCAAAAAAACGGTCAGGAATGATCGGCCATCAGCTTTCCCGTGGAACCAAAATCCATTCTAACATTCCGAAACATAAATCTATGATTTAGTGAAAATTCTACAAAAATCGGACAGAAATTGAAAAAGTTACATAGCGATGATCAGTTTGTCATTTTTTTTTCTGTTTTTTTGCCGATGTGTATAATAAAGACATTGTGTTAGGAAAAAGTTCGAGTCGGTTTATGCTTTCGTCATTTTTTGAGTCTTATTTTTATCGTAAAAAGCTATGGAGATGGGAAATCTCAAAATAATGCATACCTGGAAGCTTTTGAAATACTGTATTTTGAAAGTTTCGAAAATTGGCCGACCAGTTATACAACAACGAATGGGCTTATATCACAAAAAATTTTTATTTCATAATTCGATAGAACTCACCCCTAGCTCCCCACCGCAAACCGTTTCTTGCTGTGAGCTCCCTACATTTTATAAAAAATTATTGAAATCCCCGATTTTTCGGACCTCTGAAAACGAGGCGATGATGTGACGTCGAAACCTTAATACTGAAACAAGACTATTCCAGATCGAGATGAATGATACATGATTTCCGACAGAGTGAATTAGCGCGAGATCACAGTTGAAAGAATTAATATATCAGTTGCCTCAGTCTCCGTCGGGTGTTTGGTATTTTCTTTTAACTATGGCGAGATGAGGTTTCTACGTCATCAGAGGGTCCGTTTTCAGAAGGTACTATTATTCATGTCCAAAAATGAAACATTCCAGTTAATTTTTTGATCGAATTATGTCGTCAATCATTATTTATGTATGAAAGGATCATTATAAACATGGTTTGAGTTAAAAGTTCTACTAAGGTGTACACGCCCATTGTCGCCACTTGAAGTGACATACTGTATATGGTCTGATGGGGTAAGATTTGATTTTCCATCAAGTAATAGCCGAGTCAACCAAAAAAATAACCATTACAAAAACAAAATGTTTAATTTGTATAAAAAATAAATACAACGGGAGGTATCTGCTTTGAAATTAAAAATCCATGGTAACTTCTGCAATGAAACAACATTATAAAAAACTTCATTAAACAATCTTCAATTCACTTACCATTTTCAGATCTCTTCTGTCTTTCCGCTTTCTCTAGGGGTCTCAAGAAATCTTCGAAAATAGCGACAGCCTTTAAAAGGCTGGTCTTTTTATAATCTTTTATTCTCAGTTTCTGCATGGCAGTACTTTCAGTTTCCATAATCGATTGTTCCTGTTCTTTCGTCTTCTCATCATAAGCGTTTATTTCCTCTATCAACAAACTATAAAAAATATTCAGTAGGTAATTCCTATAATTTGAAAACCAAAGCACTGCGGACCCCAGTAGCAGTTCACATTGCGATTAGATATATCGTAGTGTTGCGTCTACTATCTAGACTGCTAATGGACAGACTATTACACTAAGGGGTATAAGAATTGATGATAGATTAAATTGGTCCAGACATTTAGAACAGGTGCTCAGTAAATTATCTATTTTTCTATTCATATTGAGGCAACTTAAACCTGTTAATAATATGGATGTTGTACTGAAAATCACGTACATTTCTCTATTTCACTCTGTCTCATCCTATGGCATTCTTCTTTGGGGCAACTCTAGTAATGCTATAAGAATTCTAGCAAATCTTGAGTATAGAGATCATTGTAAACAACTCTTTATCAAATAAAGTATTATGACACTCCCTACCGTGTATATATTCAGTTTTACTAGAAATACATAATAACAAGAGCAAATTTATAAATCACTCCGATATGCAACACCAGCTCTGCAGACTTGTTGAATCTACAATGACCTAGTTGTGAGCAAACATTGAATTTCAACTCATACAATGTTCTCCATAAATCAGTTAAACTATTAGAACCAACAAAAAATCTGAATAACAATCAAGATTTCTTTTTGACAATTCTAGAGTATATCCGAATACCTCTAAAAAACCAACTCACTCACAGCTTAGACTAACATAGGGCAGGGCAGCATAGCTTTTACGTTTGCCATTGTTTATTTCTCTCGAAATTAGAAATTAGAAATGAAGTTAGTTTTCCTGCAAAAAAATGCCTAATATGATTTCATAAAAAATCGACTATTTTTATTTCAATAAAAACCCACGGCACTGTCGATACTGATGTTTGTTTCTAAAAAACTGATATTTCAGGTGAACAATAAACCCGAGACTTTTGAGTTGCTGGGAATGAAGTCACTGAATGGTATTAGTTAGATAAGAGTTTGGACACAGAAATGACAACTGTTAGTGTTTCCGAATGTTTAGATTTATTAAGTTACACATCTTGCATTGTGACAACAGCATCATAGTCGGTCCGCACTTTTTCATTCAAAGGACACCGCACCATTTACATTGAAATCTCGTCTACGGTGAAAATTTGTGAAAATCTAGGATTGGATAGATTAAATCATACTGTCTGTAGGTTAATAGAGGAGGAGGTACATTCATTTTACTTGATTTTTTGGGATTTTATCTCCTCGTTTCTATAAAATAAAAATATGCGTATTATTTCAATATATTTGTAGTGGGACAAATCAGATGATTTACTCCAAAATGTCACTGCGTTTAACACATTTTTCTATCAGGGAGCCTAAAAGAAAAATCCAGTAGCTTGTCAGTGACAAGGATCAATTTGGGCAGGTGTAGGAATATTTTAGTAGAGAAAATTTCTTTTTCAGGTCCTACTTTTTCGGAAGTCAAATCAAAATAATCCTAACCTAAATTAGGGTCCCGATTCACGTGATTTGAGACGCTTGGCAAATTTTTGAAATAGAAGATGAGAAAATCGGAAAACGCGTTTTATTAATCTGCTTTTGCAACTGAATCAATCAGGCTTGTTTTGGATTTAATCTGATTCTGCTCGCAGTTCAAGGGCCGTTTCAACAATTTGCAACGCGAATAAACCTACTCGCTCACCTGAGAGTTGGTACATTTCCTGGATCGAAATTATCCACCAATTTAGGATTGAAAGGTACTGAAACTTTTCCACTTTTCGGGTGAACGCAAAATGGAGCTTTCAACAAATGGTTCAATCCCTTTGTTACATGTATATCCAGTCTAGGATAAGCGTACTGTAATTTGATCTCTTCCCTGAGATTCCTTAGATTCTTCGGAATTTGATTCTATAAATGAGGTGTAATAATGAGTAAGAAAATAGCAATTTTCATTTATATTCTACCTTTCTTAAGAGATCCAAGAAAGTTTCTTCAAATATCTTCCATCGCTCTATGGAAGATTCAGCTTTCTTCATTACAGATTTGAATGACGGCCTCAAATCTTGATCTATTATTTGCATAAAATTGTTCAGTCTCTCTTCTGTGCCCAAGATGTCTTGTTCTTTAACTATGTCAACAAAATATTTGTCAACGATTGAAAGGGCCCTCCTATAACATAATCATCCCAGCTCAGTAAAGATTTTAGAATCAATTACCATAGGCTGTGTTTACGCCAGGGAAAATTCATGGCAATACTGTCAATCTTCGTAAATTCGTATGGGTTAGGTATAAGTACTAGCAACAATAATGAATAGGGTGGCGCTACTTTGTCCTTGGTTATGCAGGGTGCCACTGAAAGGTCTTTAAAAAGCTTACCACATATTCCTTTTAGACCAAAATAATTAGTAAAAAGTAGTTAGTTTGTGCGCTAGCCGTCTCTGAAGTTACAATTCTCAAATCGTTTTTGCTTCATAACTTTGAAATGGCTCATGAAATAGTCAAATTTGTTACGTTGGCATAGCTTTATTGGACAATAACATCCACACCATAATCATTCCATGGGCATAGAACTTGATTTTTCCAGTGAATAAGCATCTGAAACCTCTATGCCAATGAAGAGAAAGGGGTTTGAATATTAAATTTGGATTGTGTAACTTAGTCACTACAAAAAATGTACTCTTGAAAATATTCGATTTTTGTCATGGTTTGGACGGAATTTGAATTTCAGTAAATCAGAGCAGCAGTCAACATAAAAACGATTAACAGATAGTTATTTAAATTGTTCAAAATGTTTACCATTTTCACGTATTCAAAGATTTATACGACGAAAAAAATGTCAATGTGCTATCAGCTTTTTTTTGTGTTTTTTTTTGTACTGATTACTGATTATGCCAGAGCCGTCTAGCGCCCAGACTGAGCAACTTCGTACTGAGGTGAGTTTGCTTCTATCCACTTTTTTCGTTGTAAAAATCCTTGTATATATGAAACTGATTAACATTTTGAATAATTTTCATGACATGACAAATTCATGTTAATCGTTTCAATGTTAACTGATGCTTTTTCACTAAAATTCAAATTTTGTGGAAACCATGTAAATAGGATTTGTTTATGAATAAATAAAAGAATTAGAAATATGATCATCATTTCACCTGAACCTCACTCATACAAACCCCTAAGGTAGAAGGTCAGTGCAACTCTTACAAAAATATTCAATTATCAACTATCAATTCTAAGTACAGAATCAACATTTTTGAAGAACTTAAATCTTGACTTGAATAGGGACTCCCCATATATATTTAAATACCAACTGTTGTTGTATTTGAATACTCCAGAAATATTCAAACACTTCAGATATACTGGGTGTAACATAAGTATGTTGAAATATTCAAGTGACATACTCCTGAGACAATTTTATGGAAAAAGTCTAGATAAACTTGTGTCCGGAAATACTTCGTTTCGGAGATACAGGGTGTTGAAATTGAATTTTTTGTTGGCTTTTTGAAAATTACTGTTGTAAATGATGAGTAATTTGCACGAAATTTGGTACCCGGGGGTTTCTTGACGTGGGAAATCATAATCACATGTTAATTTTCATGTAACATCTAGTGGGCTGTGTATGCTGTCATTATATATATTTCAAATAGCCCTAATATTTTTGACAGTAAACTGTTGGTATTCTTCATGAAAAAATATTATTTCAACACCTTTTCCAAGTAAAAAAGGTACACTTCTTCAACAATGCTGGAGGTGATTGTTTTTGAGATATATAAAAGTGTCTATATCAATGCATGTTAATTTGCTCCTAGGGTGCTAAGTGAAGTTGCTGAGAACATTACAAAAACTAAGTATGTGGTAGGTCTTGTCAAAATTAACTACTTTTTTCTCATGAAGTGTTTATAGAAAAATGATTTGTTTTCAAGGTCCAAATTATGGTTGGTGTTCCTCATAATTTATTTGTGAGGTTATTTGCAACTGCAGTTATTCTGAAAAAGATTATTCTTAGATAAATTATGAACATGAAAAAATAGTATATAAAGAAATACATTGAGAATTTGCATTCTTTATATGATGAAAATATCAATTCTTTACAACAAAAAAACAACTATTATCATGGCTGTATGCCATGATGAACATTGAATTATATCTATTCAACACACATGATAAGAATTTGAAAACAAAATCTTCTGAAGTTGAGAATTTGCATTCTCCTTCAGATAAAAATATGTATATGCACATAATATCATTCTGAATATTCAACAGAAAACAACTACTTTCCTGACTATTTGTCACATTGAACATTGAATTATATCTGTTGAACATCCAAAAGGAGAGCATGAAAAATAAAAATCCTCTGAAGTTGAGAAATAACATTCTCTCTCAAATCATATAAATAAATAAAATAAATGAAAATATAACTTACCAAAATGTTCAGTATTGAAATGAAAATTGAAATGTATAGAAGTATACTTGTATAAACACTGATCTTGATGAGCTAGGTACTTCCAAAAAATCATTTGTATCAGTGATATGGGAATTATATCTGTCACATACAGGTTATATGACTTTATTGGAATCAACTCATTTTGGATATCTAACCCTCCTCAGTAACCTGAAGTCCAGTAGTCATTCTTTCAGCAATTCTTCATGAGTCATGATATTCCATGAAATATATATTATTATTTCATGCAGTTATTTTCATTCAACTTCAAAGACAGACTTCTTTAGGAAAAAAAGTAGTTATTTAGAAAATTATAAAAATCTGGAAAACAATCACCTCCAGCATTGTTGTGGAAGTGTACCTTTCACTTGGAAAAGGTGTGAGAATATCATTTTTTCATGAAAAGTACCAAAAATGTTACATGAAAATTAACATGAGATTATGATTTCCCATGTCAAAAAACCTCTGGGATACCAAATTTTGTGCAAATAACTCATCATTTGCAAAAGTTATTTTCCAGAAGCAAACAAAAAAATTCAATTTCAAAACACAAGTTAATATAGACTTTGTTTTTAAAATTGTCTCAGGAATATATCACTTGACTATTTCAATGTCAAAAATCAAATGATCATAGTTTATGGTTATAAATACTGCCAGTGCACCAGTACTGCCAAAATTGTTCAGGAAATTGAATGGAAATTGAATTCAAAGCTACTGCTACTGTTTAGTGTTCTTAAATTGCTTACTGTGGCCAGAAATGTCAGCAATATCAGAACATGACCATAATACTAATATAAAAATGTTGGATCTAGAATCTAATTTGCCTATTCATGGGGCACCTTGTATATTAGGCTGGTCTGTGGATAAATGAATATAAAAACTCAGCATAAAATCTTACCCAAGAGATGCATGTATTTTTTCTCCAGGTAGCTGCACCTTCTTCATTTGACTAGTGCCACCTTTAATGACTTGCAAGTAATCAGCAATGGCAGATCTAACTCCCTCTTCCAACTTTCTAGCTGCTTCATCAGCAATCCAACAATGGATACCCCTTCTACCAGAAAATACCCAGAGAATATGTGCATACCCAAAATCTTCCCTCAGAGCTGCATCCAAAATTTTGCATGCAATGGTCATGAATTTCCAACATTTTGTGCATACATCTGTACCAGAGCAACAAATTCTGATATCATCATAGTCAGTCATATCAATATCGAAAACAATTTCCTTTTCCAAAGGCATCATGGGAGTCAGAGGACTTCTGTCTTTGGGTTTGGTATAATAAACTGCTCCAATATCCATTTTGACTGGATATTTCTTCTGGAGTTCATTGACAAAGTCTTCATGAGTATCAAAAGACTGAAATCGGAGGTATATGTCGCCTAGGAGTGTGAATGAAATTTCTCTCTTGGAAAAAGTTGCTGAATTACCTGGAAGGATAATTATTAGGCTAGTATCTATTGGCATACAGATGAAATAATATGCGATTCTGAAGTAAATTTTTACCACTTAATTTCCAACCTAAAGATTGAAGCCCCCAACATTGTCAATACAAGTTGAAATGAAGAAATTTCATAAGACTAATTAATTAACATGAGTATTGATCATAAATACCCCCTTACCATAACTAAGCCATCTATAGAACTGTAAATGAGGAAATAATCGTCTGTAATACAAGGGAAGTAGATCAGGCAAGGTATCTTCGTTAAATTCAGTGCTATTCATTTCTGGATGAAAATTGAAAATGTTCTTTCAGCTTTTGGAATGTCTTTTTGTTTTGATTTCTTGGCGCGAGAATATTTTTAGGTTATCATGTTTTTCTTGTCTTTTTATTTTTGTTTATGTTCATATTCATAGCTGAAATCATGGTTATATGAATTGTTGCGAATCTATTGTGCACACGTGACGTCATATATCTGTACGTGTGGTGCGTGTTGTATGCAAGTGAAAAGTAAATTCCACACCACTGGATGGATAATGCTGGAATTGAAAGCTGAAACGATGGTACATACCGCGCGAAGCGATTTGAAGGTGCGCAATTTATTGCAGCAGTTTGATGGATTTCCATCAACATTCCAGCGGAATTTCGCAACAGAGCGATGGTTTCTTCGATTCATGCGCATAACAAATTGTTGGAATGAAAAACGCACCCTGATTTGTAAATTGGAGAATCGAATCGAAAACTAAACGTCAACTCAAACTTACCGAACCAATGACGGCTAGATATCTAGACTATCTGGCGGGATATAGCTCGTCAGACAGTCTAGATATTTAGCCGTCATTGAACAGATGATTTCCTATCAGAGAGCCTAAAAGAAAAATTCACTAGCTTGTCAGTGACAATTTGTATTAAGAAAAGTTTGGAGAAGAGAAATGAAGGTACATATATAGAAAAATATCAAATTTTTATTCAGCTTCGGACGTTTCGGGAACGAATCTGCTCCCGTTTTAAACATAAAAAATTGATTCTTTGTATCGCAAATTCGTATTTGTCTTGACACTTTTCAGTTCTCAGAGACAATTGGCGACGTTGGCAATCAAATGAGTTACAGGATGTTTTCATCAATTAATCTGGAATTTACCATTCTCGTTCTCAGAGTCCAATAGTGAATACCATTACCATGTTCTATAGATAAAACACACGAAAATAAGAAAAAAAGTTCATGTGAACATGGGTCCGGAAACGCTTCTTCAGGGCCCTTCGAAGATGACCTTCAAAAACTACTTTTCGTTTTATAGCTTCGGTACTACTGCAGCTATCGAAAAGGCAATAAATTTCTCTAATCTAATTTATTTTCATTAAAGAAGAAGATTTGACTAACTAATAATGCTCACTATCTGTACTGAACCTCATTTTCATATTTCAACGTGATAATTGGTTTAAGACCAATAATTTATCATTGATTGGATTTAGCCATTTTCGGAGGAAACGGTGACAGATAGCGATTTTTACAAGAGTACTTTTTTTATGTAAATGGCATTGGAGAATCATAATCAGATATAAAAATGGTAAGAAATCAAAGCCTAAGAGGAGTAGGGTCAAATTTACCCAAATACCCCCCTGGTTTGTACGCCCCTGGTTAAAGGTGACAAAATCCGGAAGGCTCAAATTGATGAACCTAAGAACTAGATTTCATGTCCCAAAATTGGTTGCGATAGCTGCAGTAGTACCGAAGCTGTAAAACGAAAAGTAGTTTTTGAAGGTCATCTTCGAAGGGCCCTAGCTCCCTGAAGAAGCGTTTCCGGACCCATGTTCACATGATGATCACCGGAATACCCTGTATATGGCAGAGTGGAATAATATTAAAATCATTGGAAAAGAAGATAACAACCAGAAGAGAAAAATCAAGGAATCTGCTTGTATTCTTCTGAACAGAGACAATAGCATCGATTCCTGTTCAGTTGATATATATAGAACATGGTATTCACTATTGGACTCTGAGAACGAGAATGGTAAATTCCAGATTAATTGATGAAAACATCCTGCAACTCATTTGATTGCCAACGTCGCCAATTGTCTCTGAGAACTGAAAAGTGTCAGGACAAATACGAATTTGCGATACAAAAAATGAATTTTTTATGTTGGAAACGGGAGCAGATTCATTCCCGAAACGTCCATAGCTAAGTACAAATTTGATTCTATATACCTTTATTTGTCTTCTCCACACTTTTTTCAATACAAATTGTCACTGACAAGCTGCTGAATTTTTCTTTCAGGCTCTCTGATTTTGGGGCAAATCGTCTGATTTGTCCTTACTACACGTATATTGGAATAATATTCATATTTTTATTTTATAGAAACGAGGAGAAAATCCCAAAAAATCTGAAACGGTAGTTCTGCTGGAGCAAGTTCTGGTGCACCGATACCGATGGCACCAAGATGTGGCCGAGACACGCAATGTTAGACACTGTCTGTCAAAAAAAGAAAAATGTCAGTGTCCACTGTCAATTTCAGCTGTGTGAAATTGGCAGCCAAAGATAGCAGCCAAAATCTCCGAACATTGCCGAAGACCCAGTGGCGGACAACATGTTTTTTTTTTCCATGCCTTCGAATACGAAAAACAATATTTTGAGTGAATTTTGAATGTTTTATATAGTTATAAAAAACTGCTGGACAAAATTAACATACCCAATGAAGTAATTGACGATTTGACCATAGAAGCAATCCCTGCAACACCTATCCAGAATAATATACCTATATGAAAAAATCCAACCAAACACACAAAAAAATTATTTTGAGGGTGTAAATAAAAAACTGCTGCGATGACATAGGGTAGGAATCATTCAAACATACCCAAGGAACGATTTGCCTATCGAAAAACTCCCCGCAACCCCTATCAAAAAAAAATATATCATATTCCACCCTACAGTAGATAAAGAATTTTTTTCACTGTGTAAATGAAAAACTGCTGCGATGCCATATGGTAGGAATCATTCAAACACACCCAAGGAACGACTTGCCTATCGAAAAACTCCCCGCAACCCCTATGGAAAAAAAATATATCATATTCCACCCTACAGATAAAAAATTTTTTTTAGTGTGTAAATGAGAAACTGCTGCGATGACATATGGTTGGAATCATTCAAACAGACCTAAGGAACGATTTGCCTATCGAAAAACTCCCCGCAACCCCTATCGAAAAAAAATATATCATATTCCACCCTACAGATGAAGAATTTTTTTCAGTGTGTAAATGAAAAACTGCTGCAATGACATATGGTAGGAATCATTCAAACATACTCAAGGAACGATTTGCCTATCGAAAATCTCCCCGCAACCCCTATGGAAAAAAAATATATCATATTCCACCCTACAGATAAAAAATTTTTTTTAGTGTGTAAATGAGAAACTGCTGCGATGACATATGGTTGGAATCATTCAAACAGACCCAAGAAACGATTTGCTTATCGAAAAACTCCCCGCAACCCCTATCGAAAAAAAATATATCATATTCCACCCTACAGATGAAGAATTTTTTTCAGTGTGTAAATGAAAAACTGCTGCGATGACATATGGTAGGAATCATTCAAACATACTCAAGAAACGATTTGCCTATCACAAATCTCCCCGCAACCCCTATCGAAAAAAAATATATCATATTCCACCCTACAGATAAAAAATTTTTTTCAGTGTGTAAATGAAAAACTGCTGCGATGACATATGGTAGGAATCATTCAAACAGACCTAAGAAACGATTTGCCAATCGCAAATCTTCCCGCAACCCCTATCGAAAAAAAATATATCATATTCAACCCCCTGCATGACAAATTTGTTTTAGTGTGTAAATGAAAAACTGCTGCGGTGACATATGGTAGGAATCATTCGAACATACCCAAGGAACGATTTGCCTATCGAAAAACTCCCCGCAACCCCTATCGAAAAAAAATATATCATATTCCACCCTACAGATAAAGAATTTTTTTCAGTGTGTAAATGAAAAACTGCTGCGATGACATATGGTTGGAATCATTCAAATATATCCAAGGAACGATTTGCCTATCGGAAATCTCCCCGCAACCCCTATCGAAAAAAAATATATTATATTCAACCCCCTGCATGAAAAATTTTTTTTAGTGTGTAAATGAAAAACTGCTGCGATGCCATATGGTAGGAATCATTCAAACACACCCAAGGAACGATTTGCCTATCGAAAATCTCCCCGCAACCCCTATCGAAAAAAAATATATTATATTCAACCCCCTGCATGAAAAATTTTTTTTAGTGTGTAAATGAAAAACTGCTGCGATGCCATATGGTAGGAATCATTCAAACACACCCAAGGAACGATTTGCCTATCGAAAAACTCCCCGCAACCCCTATGGAAAAAAAATATATCATATTCCACCCTACAGATAAAAATTTTTTCTCAGTGTGTAAATGAAAAACTGCTGCGATGACATATGGTAGGAATCATTCAAACATACTCAAGGAACGATTTGCCTATCGAAAATCTCCCCGCAACCCCTATCGAAAAAAAATATATTATATTCAACCCCCTGCATGAAAAATTTTTTTTAGTGTGTAAATGAGAAACTGCTGCGATGACATATGGTTGGAATCATTCAAACAGACCTAAGAAACGATTTGCCTATCGAAAAACTCCCCGCAACCCCTATCGAAAAAAAATATATCATATTCCACCCTACAGATGAAGAATTTTTTTCAGTGTGTAAATGAGAAACTGCTGCGATGACATATGGTTGGAATCATTCAAACAGACGTAAGAAACGATTTGCCTATCGAAAAACTCCCCGCAACCCCTATCGAAAAAAAATATATCATATTCCACCCTACAGATAAAAAATTTTTTTCAGTGTGTAAATGAAAAACTGCTGCGATGACATATGGTAGGAATCATTCAAACATACTCAAGGAACGATTTTCCTATCGAAAATCCCCCCGCAACCCCTATCGAAAAAAAATATATTATATTCAACCCCCTGCATGAAAAATTTTTTTTAGTGTGTAAATGAAGAACTGCTGCGATGCCATATGGTAGGAATCATTCAAACACACCCAAGGAACGATTTGCCTATCGAAAATCTCCCCGCAACCCCTATCGAAAAAAAATATATTATATTCAACCCCCTGCATGAAAAATTTTTTTTAGTGTGTAAATGAAAAACTGCTGCGATGCCATATGGTAGGAATCATTCAAACACACCCAAGGAACGATTTGCCTATCGAAAAACTCCCCGCAACCCCTATGGAAAAAAAATATATCATATTCCA